ATGAATGGGGTGAAAGGGAAGAAAAACTGGGATGAGGGAAGGAGGAGGGAGAGAGGGAGAAGGAAGGGGGTAGAGGGAGAGAGGGAGAAAGAGGGGGAAGAGGGAGAAAGAAGGGGAAGGGAGTGAACAGAAGAAAGAGGCGGAAGGAAGAGAAAAAGGAGGAAGAGGGAAAGGGAGTAGAAGAAAAGAGGGAGAAAAGGAGGGAAATGAGAGGAAGATTGCACAGTGCGGAATAGAAAAGAGAGGAAGAAAGAGGAAGGAAAGAAAAGAGAAGGGTGGAGACAAGGAGAAAGGGAGAAAGAGAGAAGAAAAGGGGAGCATGGGAAGGCAGCCCCAGACGTCGAGAGAGACCGAAAGGGAAGGAGTATCCACAGGGAGGAAGGAAGCGTTCAAAAAAAAAAGGAGGAGTGGCTGCAGGAAGAGAGGGTTGAAGATGATAATTGCTCTCAGGTATTTTGTATATGCCGCCGCCGCCCCCGTGAGTGTGTGTGTGTGTTATTAATAAACGGCGTAATAATGCGAGGAAAGTGCCTGGCTTTGATCCCCAGGTCACACGCGCGCTGCATAAAGTATGCTCGGCCTCTCTCGCCGCCTCGCGCTCGCCTCTTGCGCTCTCCCCTCCTTCTTCTCTTCCCTTCTTCTCCTTTGCCCTTCTTCTTTTCTCTCCTTCTTCTCCTCTGCCCTTCTCCTCTCCCCTTCTCCTCTTCTCCCCTCATTTTTCCCCTTCTTCTCTTCTCCCCTCCTTCTTCTCTCTCCTTCTCTCCTTTGCCCTTCTTCTTTTCTCTCCTTCTTCTCCTTTGCCCTTCTTCTTTTCTCTCCTTCTTCTCCTTTGCCCTTCTTCTTTTCTCTCCTTCTTCTCCTTTGCCCTTCTTCTTTTCTCTCCTTCTTCTCCTTTGCCCTTCTTCTTTTCTCTCCTTCTTCTCCTTTGCCCTTCTTCTTTTCTCTCCTTCTTCTCCTTTGCCCTTCTTCTTTTCTCTCCTTCTTCTCCTTTGCCCTTCTTCTTTTCTCTCCTTCTTCTCCTTTGCCCTTCTTCTTTTCTCTCCTTCTTCTCCTTTGCCCTTCTTCTTTTCTCTCCTTCTTCTCCTTTGCCCTTCTTCTTTTCTCTCCTTCTTCTCCTTTGCCCTTCTTCTTTTCTCTCCTTCTTCTCCTTTGCCCTTCTTCTTTTCTCTCCTTCTTCTCCTTTGCCCTTCTTCTTTTCTCTCCTTCTTCTCCTTTGCCCTTCTTCTTTTCTCTCCTTCTTCTCCTTTGCCCTTCTTCTTTCCTTCTCATTCCTTCGCTCTTTCCTTCCCATTTCTTGTTCCTTCTTGTTCCTCTTCTTTTCTCCTTCCCTCTTTCCTCTCCTTCTCTCATTCTCGCCATTCTCTTTTTCCTCCCCCTTTCTCTCCTTCGCTCTTTGCTCCCCCTTTTCTCATTTCCTTCTTTCCGTCCCTATTTATCCTTCCCTCTTTCCTACCCCATTCTCCTTCCTTCTTTCCTCCACTTACCCCCTTCCCTCTTTCCTCATGAGATAGAGAAAGAAAGAAAGAAAAAGAAGGAAGGAAGGAAAGAGAAAGAGAGAGAAGCACAAGATGAGATGCAAACAAAGTGGAAATAGAGATACGACAAGCGAACAGTGGAACAAGGAAAAGGGTGAATTAGAAACGCCTATTTGTGTGTGTGTGTGTATGTGTGTGTGTGTGTGTGTGTGTGTGTGTGTGTGTGTGTGTGTGTGTGTGTGTGTGTGTGTGTGTGTGTGTGTGTGTGTGTGTATACAGATAGACAAACAGACAGATATACGAACAGACAGATAGACAAACAGACAGATAGACAAACAGACAGACAGACAGGAGGACGAAACGACAAGCCAGGACTCCGCGAGAGGTGCTCCGGCCCGACAAAGTCCTCCGATGTCTCCATTATGCAACGTCCCCCGCGAGCGTATGCTGTGGCTTCCCCGGAGTGTACATTGTGGATGAGTCACGAAATGTCATCATCGTGTGTGTATGTGGAGGAAGGAGGGGGTTGGGGGTTGGGGGGGTTAAGGAGGAGGGGGAAGGGTGGGATAAAGGGGGGAAAGGGTAGGGGTAGGGGGCGGTGGAGGGAGAGAGAGAGGGATGGACGGAGGGAGAGAGAGAGAGAAGGGGAGGAAGGGAGAGAGAGAGGGAGGGAGAGAGAGAGAGAGAGAGAGAGAGAGAGAAAGAGAAAGAGAAAGAGAAAGAGAAAGAGAAAGAGAAAGAGAGAGAGAAAGAAAGAATGAAAGAAAGAGAAAGAGAGAGAATAGGATAGCAGTAAGAACCACCTGTCTCCTGGAGGTCGTTATCTTTCCATGGCATTTACCAGGCGTCGTAGCGAGGTTCAGGTCGCGCGTCGGGAGTGCGAGGCGTCGGTGAAGGGGCATCGGAACGCCTGTTGCCGGGTCATCCGCGTCGTCTTCATTCGTCGTCGCGTGAATAAGCTCCGGCGCGGTTTATAATCATTGGTCGTTCTGGTTCCCGCCTCAGTGCTTGCGAACGCCGCGGGGGGGAGATCAGCGCCGCGTCTGGTCCTCGTCGCCGGTTTCGCTTCTTTGAGCATTGCGCGGAA